ACAAGAGAAGACTGAGAGGGGATCTGGTGGCCATCTCTAAACTCACTGGGGGGACCAGTGGAAAATAGGTGAGGCTCTGTTCCCCTGGGGACCACCTGGGATAACAAGGAATAATGGCAACAAATTGATTGAGAGCATGTTCCGACTTAATATCAGGAGGAATTATTTTATGGTTAAGGTTGCCAGGCTCTGGAATGGGCTCCCAAGGGAGGTGGTGCTCTCCCCTACCTTGGGAGTCTTCAAGAGGAGGTTGGATAGATATCTGGCTGCAGTATTATGATCCCAGCACTCATTCCTTTCCAGGGCAGGGGGTCAGACATGGTGATCTGTTCACGCCCCTTCCGACCCTAGAAACTATAATACTCTTTTGCCAGTAACAGAATTTATTGTTCTAATGCAGGGGTCAGCAACTGCTGGCATGCGTGCTAAGCATGGCATGCAAGGCCATTTTGCTTGGCACACCGCCACCATCCCAGGCTCCAAGCAGCTGCTGCCAGCCACGGAGCCCAGGCTGCTTCCAGCAGGCGGCTGAGAGGCTGCAAGCCCCGCTGCAAGCAGACTGGGCTCTGTGGGCTGACTTCAGGCAGCTGCTCCAGGCTTCGGCATGTCGGCACTCTGACACCTTCCAAGATAGACATTGTGGTTTTTTTGGCTCTCCGGCCAAAAAATGTTTCCTACCCCTGTTCTAATGTAATGGTAAATCTTGTTTTGAAGCTTTATCATTTAATTCTACACACTCTCTTTGACTGCTCACACCTTTTTAAAACAGTCAACAGGAAAACAATGCTGTGTATTGGCTTTTAACACATCTGTGTTTTCATTTTTTGATTTTTGTTGCATTACATACAGTCTGCTGTGTTTTTATCACCACATTGCTTTGAGGATTTGAGCCCAAGTTTTTCAAGGTAGGAATGATGTTTAAAATCAGTTTTTTGATTGAAGGAAAACTACTAGAACAAAGTACTTGCTGGAAAGAATACTGACATAGGTGCTACCATCAGAGTATTTATGAGACTGTTTCAAAACTCAAATTGATGTTAGTGTGTGGTTTTATTTTTTTTAATTTAAAGAATAAATTACATTCCTATTAAAATTTGATCTCTTCATGCTGTACCACATGGCTACAATCATTTTTTCTGCTCTCCATTCCTGAAGGTCTTCCTTTTTTCTGCTTTAGCATGTATTCTCTTATGACAAGCCTTGTTATGTCCCTTATGATCTTAATTTTGCTTGTTTAGTAAATAGACAGGAGGTGTATTTCTCAGTTTTTGTCAAAATACATCTTATTCCTTCTTAAACTAAGATTCTCAGTTAAGGAATTCCATCCACAGTGCTGATATTTCATGTCATTTTTTTACATCTGAATGGAATGTTTTTCATAAGTTGTTTGAATACACATATTCAATACACATCGAATACACATCATCATTGTTTTGATAAAGCACTGCCTGTCCTTAATGCTGCATTGTTAGGTTGGAACTCAGCTTTAACACCTTCCTTAGAACGCTAATTTTTTTCAGTTTCTAAAATCAGTTACTGCCAGCTACAGCTTGATCTCTGGCTACACTAGAGATCTCTATAAATAGCCTACATATACAGTACTCTTTTTGGAGAGGAACCATTGAAATAAAGCTTGTAGTTCCAGTAAGATAAAGGGTGCAGATTATGCTTTCATTGCACAAGTTCAAAATTTGACTTGTGCAAAGTCTTGTTTCTTATGAAATAATGTACTCAAATTGTAAAGTTTGGCTACTACACTTGTCTTCTAAAGTAAAACTGTAGTGGAAAATTTAAATCCATTAATGTAAAAGAAGGGAAAGACGGTTGTAGTGCCAGAATTTGCTTTTTATAGAATCGATATAATTGACTGTCAATGCAAAGAGTAATTTGTGATACAGTTGTATGTTCTCTGACTTCTGATCTGCAGAGAGACTCAGCTATAATAAATTATGTTAGATAAGAACATAAGAAGGCATATACTGGGGTCAGACCAATGATCCATCTAGCCCAGTGGCAAAAAGTAAATGTTTTAGAGCAGAGCTATCTAGCTGGCTGCCGATAGGCCGTATGTTGAATTGCGGCCCCTAGGCTCCTGCCTGAGTGGTCTGGCTGCTGCTCCCCCTGTTGCTCCATCTGCAGCAGCATCTGGAGTCCCTAGGCTCCCTCCCCATCCTTCAGCTTTTGATGCCTGCCCCTGCCTCAGAGGGGAGGGCAGTGCAGCGTGGCTGGGGGAGCACAGGGGGAGCCTGGACAGTGAGGAGGGGGGGCATATGCAGTGCAGCAGTGGGAAGGGAAGGGCCCATGTGGGTGTGCAGTGCAGTGTGTATGCTGGGGTGGGAGGGGTGGCGTTTGTGCAGCATGTGGCCCATAGGGCCTGTGGCTTGCCTTGGTGCTGTCCAGTAGTGTGGTTTGCAGGATGTTCAGTCCCCAGCTGCTTAGCAGTTGCACAGCCTTGCTTTAGAGGGAAAGTATATGAATGGGATGTGTCTAGACTAGTGATCCCCCTGTCAGTCCTTCCCTGGCATCAACCATTATTGGTTTAGGGATGTCAGGATACATCCTTGATTTCAGTTTAATAGATCTCAATGTGCCTGTTCTACATACTATATTGTCTATGTAATTATCTCAGGATTAGCATTTGGCTTTCATATCCTGTTCTCTTATGTCATCTAACTCCCTTGCCCTCTTTTATTTTCTGTACTCAACAGGAAAAAATTGTGAGGGCAAGAGAAGGGGGAAGGAGACTTCTCCAAAGCAAAGAGAAAGTTTTCTCAAATGGAATATTTTTAGCTTCTGTAGAATCCAAGCCATCGATTGAAGAAAGTGTGTGTGTGTGTGTGTGTGTGCGCGCGCGTGCGTGTGTATCCTTTGTTAGGGTAGAAAAAAGTCTTTCTTTAAAAATGTCCTTTTTTTTTCCATCTTAAAGGAATAGGTAAATTAGGGGTCTGCAGTGAAGTAAAGTTAGTGGTGTACCACTGTAAATGAGACAAGAACATCAAGCCTATGAGCTCTTAACTTGTAGAAGCATCTCCTTCACATCCAGACCAATGAGATGAAGAAATTTACAATAATGCGCACAGCTCTGGGGGGGCATGTGCTTCCCCCAGGGGTGCATGCAGCAGTGGGATCCACCCCCTCCCTGCCCCCGACAAACTGCCTGCAGCTCCGTCCCATGCCCTGCCCTGCCTCAGCTATGCAGCACCTGCCCCAGCCCCAGCTCCAACCCCACTCCCTCCCTTATTGCGGGGGCCTTGATCTGCATCCCCATGTCTCTTCCCTCCCTCATGCCCTTTGCCCCCAACAGACTTATCAGCTGGACGCTGCTTTCCATGTTGCCAGGGTTCATATCAGCAATCGGATTGTTATCAGCCGATATGACTGGTCAATAATCGGCTATCGGTATCAGCCCAAAAATCCTTTATCAGTGTGCCCCTACTTTTTGTGAACTTCATTCTAAATAATAAATATCCAGAAGAAAGTATGAACTGTTACTTTCCGCTAACAGCTAGACATTCCAAACCAAAATTTTCTCCTCTAAAATTTCTGAGAAAGATGTGTTGCCTCCTAGTATTTGAATTTCATACTTGAGGCTGTATCTATCATCTGAGCCTGTGAATGTGCATATATACCACTGTCTTCTACTAAGCAAAATCAGAACTGCTTCCAGTTACTTGACATCAGAACTGTGTTTGCTAAAGATTAACCACAGCCTTCAGATCAAGTTGTTTGGACTTCTAGTATTGGAGTACAAAAAATTCTTTGAAGTGTTTTTGCCTTCTGTGAGGTAGTGCAATATAAGTGGCTATAGTTAATGTAACCATTTTTGGGGAATCTTAGGGGCAGAGTAAGAATTCTGTTTTGATATGGGGACAGTCTGTGCATCATACTTCAACCTTCTGTTCTGAATATGGATTTAATTTGCTTTCTCCTATGCTGGAGTTATAAAAAGATATCTTAGCCTTACTCAATGAGAAGTTAAGCTTTTTCTGGAAGACTGACATACCTAGAAATAAGTCAAATTTATGAGCTATGTATTAAGAGTAAATACTGATTAATTGAAAGACGGAACCTGCATTTAGACTGTATTATAACTCTTGTTTTTCCCACCTCTGGTGGGAGAGCAAGGAAACTTGAGAAAAAACTCTGTTTAAGGATTTGGCATTCCAGCCTTCTCCACTTCACAAACAGCTCAAATTTGAGCCCTCTTGGGTTTCAAACTTCTGCTAAAGTCTTTACAAAAATCTGAAGAAAAACTGACTCAGCATTTGGTTGGCAAAATTAAATAAAAATAAATATATTAACACTGTTTTAAAAAAAAAAAAAAAAAAGCAGTGGCCACTTTGGAAGCTTTTACTGTCCTGCCCAGCAAAGAGCAGGGGCAGAGTCTAGTATTAACCCTCTCATAGCTGCTAAGGAATTTGCAGTAGCTATTGGCTGATCACTGTGACTTGTGTCTGGAGCAGTGATTGAGCTGGCTCAGTGCAAATGAGCTGCTGCATGCAGTCTGGTATTTTGATACGGCTTGTGGTATAGAAAGAGCACTTGATTTACAGGAACTTCTATACAGAACTATTTACAGTAAAGAAATAAGTCTTGCACCTGCTCTTCCAAAGTTCTAGGGCTTTGCTGTCTTGCCAGACTAAGAAGACCCTGCTGCCTCACCCATGCTGTCTTTCTGGATGCCACAGTTTTTGGATGCTATCACACTGTTGTACACTCTGGGAAAATCTCCCCCCCCCCATATGCTGCTTTCCAAAGAGCAAGGTGCACACATCACACACCCCCAAATAAGACATATGCTTTGTCTTTGGAAGATGGCATGTAGCGGGGAAAAGATTTTTCCAGAGTTATGGTTGATTGTGTAACAGAGTAAGCTCTGCTGCAAAGAGAGTGTCCAGAAAGTGTAGCATCCCAGGAGATTGTCTGGGTAAAGCAGTCTGGATGTTGTCTTTTAAATACTATAATAAACCAGTATCTTTATTTTGTATTTCTTTTCTTAGGGTGTTGGTCTATCAATCCATGGACATTTTAGGGTGGCTACTGAGAAGACACTTTTTGCAATGCCAGAGACCGCAATAGGTAAATATTTTGCATCCTATCTTTTACTGTTTCAGAATATATTACATTTGTTTATGTGATTTGTAACAGGATGAATTTCATTAAAAGAAGGTTAACAAGACACTAAAGTGCGTGTGTGTGTGTGTGTGTATTTTTTTTTTTGGATAGATTTTATTCTGTGGACAGGAGGGCTAATCCTAATGATACTTGTACCAGCACATATGTATTCTTCATCTCTGTAGAGCTTATCAGAATAAAATGTTTTTGTGCTGAAGTAAGGAATGGGTAGCACTAATTATGGAATCAGTCATAAGTACAAAGATACCAGTATAACTGTGCCAGTGCACTTGAATTCAGAATTGCTGCTAAAACTTACTGAAATAGATTATCTTGCTTTTGTGGTGTAAGACAAAGCTAAAGGCTAAATGGCCCCTTAATCCACCACATTGCCTATTTTGTGCCATTTTGACTGATTTGGACCTAGTGTAAAAAGATTTAGGTTCATTAGTATCAGTACAGTAGTGGTATTTATGTCAGGTTTTAATTTACCGTAATCATTTCATTTTGCCAAGCTTATGTTCAGTCAAGATGGTCTGTTATATTTCCTTTGGTACTGAATCTGTGTAAAAGTCACTGATATCATTAACTTATGCACCTTATTGGCACCTAGAAGGCATGCTGCCAGTTTGGTCAAGTCAGCATCACAAGTGAATGGATGGAATTTGAGGGCTTATGCATACTCCTGCACCAGTAGGGAGTCTGAGTAATACAAACCTTTGATTAAAAACAGCTGCTATAAACCGTTGAATTGTAATTCTTTGTTAGTCTGCCCAATTGTGGCCTGTTTTGGCGAAGTACTGTATGCCTTCAGTTCTTGTTGATTCCAAAGCTAATACTAGGTGCTTAGCAGCTTGGATGATGAGATAAAAACAGATGCAAAATAATATCTGTATTCATTACTGGCACTGATTGTTGCATGATAGGCTGCATTTTTCTAGGATAACTCCTAAAGAGTTTAATGAAATAATGGGCACATTTTTTATGAAGTGTAGAAGGAGTTGGTAATAGATTAGCAGATGCTTTTAAAATGATTGATCAGTTGTTCTAGTCTATCAGATCAGCAGACTGCTTACAATATTGGCTTCTTATTTTCTATGACTCTGGTTATGACCATAAGAGTGGAATACTCCTGCTGTGTTGTATCACTAACATGCCTATATAATATCTATTAACAATTTATTGATTAAATCTTTAATATTAAGGTTTGACCAAAATAAATCTGTTACAGGTCAGTGCAAGTTATGTGAGATTAATATTTTTAAAATCTTAAACATCTAAGTAAATGTTTTTAACATTTTCCAAAATGAAACTAAATTTTCCTTATGAAAATTGGTAATTGATAATTAATTTTTTAAAAAAACTAAATTGATGCACGTATTTTATTTTTCTGTGAACTTTAAGAAGGTTGGAGACATCTGAAAATGAAAAATACGAAATTTTGTCCCCATCTCTTGTGTTCTTCATTTCATCCTGGAGTGTTTTATGAAGTAATTTATTCTAAAATTCCCATTCATAAATTATCCATGAAAATAGCATAGCCCTTTCCAAGAGCTATAATCCTAGCCATCCAATTTTTAACCTGATGATGATGATAATTAGCTCATGCTTGGAGAAAAGAACTTGAGAATCCAGACTTGTTTCAGTTTTACCATTGACTTACTGTGTGACTTGTATGAAAATAACTTTACTTAGTTTTTAGTTGTTATTTCATATAAATTTAAATCTCTTGATGTTTGGATCAGAGGTAATGCATTAATACATCTGTTATGGATATTTCCCTTTAGATTTTGGGGTGAGGTGGGGGTAGTCTCTGACTTTTTCCCAGGTACAGCAGGTGTTCCTGGCAGATCTTAGCTTTTTGCTTTGGTAAAAAATGTTCAATCAATATTACAGTTTTTAGAGTTAAGAATTTCTAATTGGTATGTGTCGGGATTAAATGCCCCAAGGTCACGGTGGGCTGGGCGGTGGCTTGGTACGAAACAGGTGGGATCTTTGGCGTGGAGCTCTGAGGCACAGAAGCGTTTGGTTTCAAAAACAAGCTAGGTTTATTTAACTTACACTTCTGAAGCGTAGGCACAGAAGTCTTCAGTTACAGTTAAACAGAATGAACAAAACAAAGGGATCTGTCGGCTCATGAGGTTCACCAGCAAGCCCTTGCTATCTAACCCCGGAGGGCTAGGGGCAGCTGCCTGCTGGCTAGTCCCAGAGCTGGTCGACAGCTTATGAAAGGGTGAACACACTACGGAACAAAACTGTAACGAGGCCAGAGTCGTGACGCCAGTCCAAAGGACGAGTAGTCGGTAAACGAAGCCGAGGTCGAGAGCCGGAATGTGAAGCAGTGGAGGTGTAGACGAGGTAAGAAAGGAAGAGCCGAGCCGTGGTCGTTAATTGGAGCCGAGGTCAAGAGCCGTCCAGTAAACTGAAGCCGTGGTGGTAATCAGAAGTTGAGGTTGGAGTTGGAGCCAAAACAGTTCGAAAGCTGGAAAATCAGAACAGTACGTATGTATACGATCAAAGGTGAAGATGTAGTGAGGGCCTACGTGGGAGGAGACCTATAGGCCGAGGAGCCTCACTGAGGGACAGTAACTGAGATCAGCCTCTGTCCTCAGTCGAACGGATCTCCCCCCTCCGGGAGGGGCCCACTAAGCTTTTATATGAATTTGGTAGCCAATTACAACGCTGTCTCCACAGAAATTTCTAGTCAAATGACATCATGCTTTTAATAAACTGGGCATGCATGACACTGAGCTCTCTGTTGTTACCAGGCATGCGCCAGCCTGAAAAGTAGGTCAGCGTGATTGACAGCTCTCAGGGTTGTACAAGGGGCATGTGTCGAGCACACTTGTGGAAAATTCCGTTTGGAGAGCTCTTCTGCGCATGTCATCTTAACCCCTTGCATTGGCAGCATACATAACTACAAATTTACTTTTACAGTATGGATCATATATATCTTGAAGTTTTCAGTTTATCTGGAGACAGTTAACTAAATATACACACAATAAAGTGAAACTCTGTTAGTATTATTTTTATGTAAGTATTAGTTACGTAAATACTTTGCAAAGCAGCACATTTTTTGTTTTTTGGCTTTCTGATTGTTTTTTATGAGGTATAATTTTTAACAGTCAAAATAGGATGGCAAGATCTTATGAGTAATATGAAATGCCTAAGGCAAATGATGATTGGTTGCAGCCCTTCTAAACGTGCTTCAGTGTGCACACCCCTTTTCCATGCGAGATTTACTGAATAGTCTCACGTGCATTGAGTCTGCTTAGGCTCCTGTACAGGAGCAGAAATGGCAGGCAGGCATAACCGTCTCCCAATTCCCTCTTACCACATACGTCTATATTGCCTTGGGTGTAAAAGCTGGCACCTAAATCTTCTTGTATCAAAGTGCAGGGAATTTCAGGACTAATGTCAGTGTAGTTCCAAGACTTCAATAAAAGTCCTGAAAGGAGGCCATCAGACCTCCCTCCTTTAAAGGCAAAGAAACTAAGCAGTACAACAGAGAGAGAACTGGACCAATTTTGGTCAAAGGATGCATCCATTATTGCCTTTGGGGACATTATTGGTAAAAGGAGATGACTGTTGTGAAAAGTAATACTGCCTTATAAAGAGGAGATATGCTTCTCGTTAAAGAGTATTCCTTCTGTCAGCCAGGTCCCTCTTGTGTCTTCATATGGGAGCATGAGGAGACACAGGGGCCGTATGGTTCTGATAAGCATACTATTAGAAAAAAACTTGATCTCACTCTGATCTCACTTCTTTCTCCCCTCTTCCTCTACCCCAAGGCTGTACGCCATGCATGTGAGTAGGCAGGTGCTCCCCAACCTGCTGCACTGCGTGCTGGCAAGCAGGCACCAACCCCCACTTGCTGCCCCTGTGCAGCCCAGCACTCTGTCACACCTGCTGCTCCCTGCGGGCTCCGTTATGACACTATGCCACAGGCACTCCAGGCTGCTGGCTTCCTGGCACCATGGGCTGTTGTGCTGCACTGCTCTGCCCACTGGGGCTGTCAGGCAGAGGAAGCTGAGCAGGGAGAGGGAGCCTGAGGATCCTAGTAGCTGTAACTGAAGTAAAGGGCAGTGGCAGTGAGCAGAGAGCCTGAGGGCTGCATGTTAACCCTCTGCAGGCATCACGTGGCCCACAGGCCACTAATTGGACAGCCCTGTCCTAAACAACCATCTTATCAACAGCAAGAGACTATGGAAAACATCAGCTTACCCAGTGAGCAGCCATTTAGCTCAGTAAGAGCATGGTGCTAATAACTCCACAGTCATGGGTTTGATCTCTGTTGGATTAGGTGATCTCTTGAGGTCCCATCCAGGCTCTCTCTGAGAATAAGTGTGGGAGGAAAAATGAAAGTTGTAACAATTCAGTTTTGATGTAGATACTTTTTAGGTAAATTGTAGTACAATAATACTCTGATGGTATTTGAAAATTCTGATGTTTATGAGCATTTAGATTTTTGTAGGAATTCTTACTTATTTTAAAAGGATGTAATATGATATAAGTTTTAACAAGAAAAAATGGGTCAGTCATTTCAACATGTAGAACCTAAGTGTGGTGGTAGGCATAGATTTCTGATATATGTGAAGTATTTTACAAAGAACATTCTGATTGTGGGGGCCTGACCAAAGAAATCTACTGGGATTCTGGCTTCTGAAACATTTAGAGTAGCTCCTCCTGGAAGATTACTTCAGGAGATTCAGGGATATCACCTGTAGAGTCCTACATGAAGGTGAGTGAAAACTTACTTTAGACAAAATTGTAGGTCTGCCAAAGTTTTCAGTACATCCAAAAAGAGAACCTCTTAGAAGCAGTGGTGGGTTTTTTTCTCAATTTAGGGGTTTTAGTTTTTCAAAAGGACCTATTTTCCAAAATACCTATTAGTAAAACAGATAATTTGAACATAATGCTACCTGAATTGTTATACTTCTGTTATATAACTTGCATTTAGTTGC